TATTTATCATACAAAATGCTGCTTAACTGCTTGAGTAGATCAATTGCTTGAACTTCAATATCACGTCTTCCAGGGTATAAAGGCAAGAGAGCCTGTTCTTTGCATGCCAAAAAATTTCTAAATAGATAATCTTCACCTCAGTTTTTCCTCACAAGGGAATAATTTAGCACAGACGATGGAAGTCTGCTAGAATTCTGCGTGGAGATATTGCTCGCATTCTCGATCAATCTGTTATTTGGAAGCTCCAAACGGAGAGCAGCAATCCACATATATATCCGCCGCAGTTTATTGTGAACAGTGTCCCTGGAGATTTATAAACCCATATCTAACGTTTTCAGGCAGTTTTTGATGTGCACTATAATTATATCCTACGAATAGAACCGGGACATACAAAATGTTTACAAATTGGAGCCAAATATTCGTAAAAAACCGTCAACAAAGACTGTAGGTCGGAAACCAAACTTAATTTTTAGTAGTATATATTGCTCACGATAAATTTAAATTATTTTTAATATAACTGTCTGTCTAAACGACTGGTAATTATGCGTGAAATAACTTTCAGCATGAGCGACAAACGAAAAACGTTTGCATTCTCTTTAAAGTTGGATGAAATGGGCAACGGTCCTGCTTTTTATTTGAGTGGCTGTCGGCTTAAGTGAAACAAGTTCAAAACTCGGGGCCATTATCTGATCGTATTTCAGTATCAAGGTTCACAGCGGATAACGTACCGAAGCTTATTCGCCGCAAGCCAAAAGACTGATAAAAATAATAATAATAAAGATAATAAAATCTACCATAATCGACGCCAGCACAGTACATAGTGACATCTTTCGCAGCGTGAATCAATGTGTTATTCAACGGACAGCAAACCGCGGCCTCCGCAATCAAAATATATATCCGACGCAGTCGATTGTATAATGTGATTCTATAGACGCATAATTGAAGTATTCTGAAGTTTTAAAATTTTCACGACAATAAACCTTAGTGAACAGAACCGAAACACACAAAAACGTTACGAACAAGAAGGATAAATAATCGTGAAAAAACAGACAACAACGATGGCAGGTTGGAAACCCAACTGAACGTGCAGTGGAACACCCTTGAGGAAGTGGAATGCTTGCAGTACACCTCGCTCGAAGGCGCTATTGTCAGAAAATGTGATGAATCCCAACTTGCGGGTCCCGCCGGTGGCCAAATGCTCTGTTATTGTTGCCTTCTCGACATTACCAAATTGGCAGAAGTAGGCTTTAAGGTCGGATTCACTGATTTTCGAGTTGTGAATTGTGACGCGTATAGTTAACTGGGGAGGGGCGTTTTCACCAGCCATTTCATGTTCACTGCAGGAATCGTCGTCACCTTCCTGGTTGGATTCCGAGATGCAGGGACCTGCAGTACTGTAAAAGAACAAAACACCTGAAAACACCTTCGTTGAAATCAAAGTCAGCAAGTACCTAAGTTAAATTTTCCGTACACGCCTCCCATGTCAACTAAACTGCTATGGAATACCAAAATAAGTAA